TAGGCTTCCCGCGGTGCTGGCAGAAAGCTCCGGGTGTTCTGGGGTGTTTTGCTGTCGTCGGTCTAAAAGGGGATTTACCGTTTTCCTAGGCGTGCGGGGGAAGCCATTTAGTTCCCTCAAGTTATGAAAAGACTTGGAGTCATAATGGGACATAAAGTCACTTCACCTTTTCCTTCAAGCCTAGTGCTTTTAGGCAGTGAAGTCGTCCTCTTCTTAAAGCCCATTCTTCTCTTGGTGTAAGGGTGGTTGGTAGAGGTGGGTTTTTTTATTGCAACCAGACCAATATTCTGAAGTGTTGCTTAGATAAAACTCCTACTGGCTTCATTGTGGAATTTGGCTTAAATATCCATGTGATGAAATTTAAATGGAGTATTTGGTCAATAGCTCGGGACAGCAGTAAGACTGATACTTCACCAAGGTTTTGACTATCAAAGCCAAATGCCACAAGCTTAAACAAAGCATTACTTCACCAGAATGTTGTTAACCTATGTTACATGTGTTCAGTTGCAGGTTGTTCAAGATATCTTTAGACAGGGCTTGGTTGGCCAGAACTGCGCTGGGATAGAAACTATGAAGAAACATCTTCCGTAAAACAACTCTTGCGTGACTGAGGCCATGGCGTCTTCAACAAACTTAGATGCTGGGGCCCAGTTAATTGTAGAAGAATGTCCCACTAGCTACAGCCTTCCACCCATGCCGGACATTAAAGTGGAGCATCAGCTTGACTCTAGCACAGAGGAAGGCCCGGCTCAGAGTGTCGCCATGGGAATGAAATTCATTTTGCCGAATAGATTTGATATGAACGTCTGCTCGCGATTTGTGAAATCTTTGAATGAGGAGGACAGTAAAAATATTCAAGACCAAGTTAACTCTGACCTTGAAGTGGCATCTGTCTTATTTAAAGGTTGAACTTTTATGGTACAAATTGTTATGTGTGGACTGTGTCATCCTGTTAAGCTGTTACGTTGGTTTTGGTTTTTTTAAAAAAAAGACAACCTCTGCCTTACATGTCTGTTAAACAATAATAGTTTTCTAAGATCTATTCCCCTAACACTTTTATTATATGCATAATGGATTATTAATGTAAAATTATTTTCCCTTAAGATTGTTCTTCCAGTATCGAATCAGTTAGCTTCTTAAAAATTATTTGGCTTCTCAGCTGCTTCTCAAAACCTACTTTTGAGAATTAGAAGCCAAGGTAACATACATACTTTGTAATAAAATGCTGTTAGATTCTAATACAAAGCTAGAAAATGTAGTACAAATTAACACAGCAGCACTAAATGACTTCTTGAATTCTAAGTGGTGACCTGCTGTTGCATTTTATGTAATTGTGGAGTATCTCTCTCCCTGCTGGATGAGTATTCATCCGGCATTCATAATGTGGTTACAATTTTACACAACAGGAGTGGAAAAAGTCCTGGTGGAGAAAATTAGTGAAGGTCACCTCCACTCTTGCAGTGGACTGGTTAGAGAGTGGGCAAAGGGATGAGCTGAGCAGTTACCTGACTATGTGGCTGACCAGAGCTGCATCATGTGATTGCACTGGCGACTGTTAGTGAGGATATGCCAGGTTAAGTGAAGCCATCCTACCTGATAAATCAACATGCCAGGTGTGTTGATAATCTAGATGAAGGCTTACCTCATTTAGACACCAACCTGCCTCTGGGTGAGATTATGCCATGCTGAACCTGTAGGGTAGCAACATTGTTTTATGCCAGAAATAAGTACAGCCCTTTATTCAACTCTTAACAATACACAACGGAAAAAGCACGTCACGAAGCTTACTTGCCATGGGTTTTAAAGCTCTTGTGATACTGGGGCTTTCTAGTTTGGCTTAGAATCTGTGGATTTCTTTTAATCTTCTTACGAGTACTAAAATCCTGTCTTGTTTTCTCTGTTCAATGTAGCTGAATGCAACATCCACACTTCTCCTTCCCCTGGTATCCAAGTAAGACATGTTTATACTCCATCAACTACTAAGCACTTCTCACCAATAAAGCAATCAACTACCCTAACTAACAAGCACAGGGGAAACGAAGTCTCTACAACACCTCTGCTTGTAAACTGTGAGTATCCTTCTGTCTTACTGTTAATAATTATCTTGTGAACTGTATGTTAGATGCCTGTCAGATTTTTTTCTGATTTTTTTTTTTTGGTGTTGTAATGAACTTTAACACAGGAAGAAAACACTGAGATAGTTTTGTCTAATTTGATACGTTTACAGCCATAAAATAGTAATCCACCTGATGTATTGAATTTACAACTGAAGCGTATTTTCTGCAAAGGATCCAATTCTTGGTTTAAAAAAATATAGATAAAGATTTTTCTGATCCTTTCTAAGCTTTAAGTTAATGTTGTTCATATATTTGTTTCCAGAACTTGTGCATCTTGTAGAATTTATTAAAATTAGATGATAGGTAAGTGCTACAGACTACTGCAAACATTGTGATTGTCACAGATCTTGGAAGTCAAGAAGGCAGTGTTATTTATGGGGGGTTGTTATTCTTAATTGTCAAGCATTTTCTTTATAAATTAATTCTCTGTAATTTACTTAATCTATAAATTATTTCCTCTATAAATTATAAGTCCAATGTTTAAAAAAAAAAAGGCTGCTTGCATGGGAAAAATTAATCTGGAGCTGCAACATAGACCTTTGAACAAAATACAGTATTTTTGGAAAAAAGAAAACACCAACAAACTTTCATGTAGTGAATAGAAAGAGAACAGCAAACACTTACATATTATGTATTCATTAGCTAATTTTGTTATTATATAATGTGGATATTATGTATTCCCTCCTGAGCACCATTCAGACCTGCTCCAAGTTGTACTTTTCAAAACCATCTACCTGTGCAGAGTTTACTGTGGCATCAGAGATTTTTTCTTTACAACCTCTTAAGAATCGTTCTGCTTTCAATGCTTGCTACTTTTTATTAAAAATAAAATTAAACACCCCCCCAATCTTTTTCTTCCCCTGTAGATGTCGTCTTGTGTATAGTTTTGTAATGCCCAGTCTCTTCCACATGGTAGTGACTGACAGTCATGCTACGGGCTTTATTGAGCAGTGTGACAGGTCTCCTGATGGCATGTGATATCTTAAGTGTCATTTTTAAACTACACAGCCTTAATTCATCAAAAGATGCTTATTTTCATTTGATAAATATTTTTAATGTGGGGTTGCTGACCAAGCAGCAGAGAAGAGAGCGTGTTGCCTTGTAAAGAGTCAGTGTAACAAGTACCTTTGCTTTTGAGTATGATTTATACTTTGGTTAAAAAATTACCTAAACCTATGAAACTCCCTTGAAACTTTTCAGTTTTTAAGATGGTGGTTCCAGTTCAGAGTATAAGGTGAAAACTACGCTCTCAAATCCAAGTTCTGTACTGCTCAAGCCAGTGGACATGTTATGCCCAGCTTCAAATATAGCAAAATGAAAATTGGTGTAATGCATGCTTTTGGTTCCCTTTTTGCAGCTTTATCAGTTCATCAGCTGGCTGCTCAGGGAGAAATGTTGTACCTGGCCACACGTATTGAACAAGGTGAGACAGAGAGAGGTGAAATGCCTTCCTTTTTTCTTTGGGGCATTTATACCCTGTTGCACTTGATTTTTTTTCCCCAAAGCTGTATTAAAAAAAAAATAATCAATTCTGGTACAGATTAAAGGATATTTGAGGTATCTGTTCGTTGTGGATGTGGACTGTTGTTTCACATCAGTCTTTTATCTGCTCATTGCTATGATCTGGATTTTAAATTGAACATTAGCATTATTAGGAACTGTAGGTAAATCCCTTCCTCCCCTTGCTCCCCAGCTATATAGGTAATCCGCGGAAATGAGAAGGGAGAATCTGTTCATTCTATCAGAAGAGTTAACTTTTTTTAAATTATCTTTGTAATTTCAAACACATTTCTATTACTGGTGGCTTTCCAATTCTATTTAATCAATCAATATATAGAGCTATATGTTGGTAATTTAAGCCACGGTTCACACCTGCAATATGATAGTGCTACTCATTCTGAGTTGTGTGATAGTCTTCAGTGTGACATTTGTATGTCCATAACACATATACAAAACTTCAACTCTACATAACATATTGAAATGAGTACTGTTAGTAGTGTATTCCTACTGTATTATTAGTAATAAGCCATGCTTTCAGTGACCAAGTCTATGTACTTTGTAATGAACCGTCTATATGGAAAGTAAATTGGTTCTGGAGTGCAACAGTTACAAATGTGTACTGTGGTGCTATGATAAGCATGGGACTTTTAAAATACTTCAATATTAAAAAAAAATTCCAACTCAACTATTTCAGTCAGCGAATTATTAAAAATAAGTTCTTTTTCCTTCTTCCAGCTGCACTAAAAGTAGACCGTAATTGTTTCCACAGAACACCCTATTGACTACATGAGCTTTGGGGGGAATGGAGTTACACTATCTATATTGCTTTACAAGCTAATTCTTTACAAGATTATGTGGCTCACTATTGAAAAACACACTTTCTACAGTATAATACAGAATGTACCTCTTTATTATTCAAGCAGCCCTTTTCTTCTTTCCAAAGATAAATCCCAGGTTATGGACAACTTGTAACATTTCTGAGTGAAAAGAGAGCTTGACTGATAGAACTTTAAAAAAAATAATAAACCCAAATCTTAGATTTTACTTTGGTCAGTTGGATGTTTTTTGTTTTCTGGACAAAGGTATTTGCACTACTATTGGGATGGAATTTTGGTTTTAAAATCAAGATGATAATGTCTTATAAGACACACTGGTACCTCAGTCCATTCACCATGGACATGTGAATGTATTTCCCAGCTCATTCAGTGCATTAGTGAAGAGGATTACTAAGTTGCATATTTTTCTTTAAACAGAAAATGTAATCAATCATAAGGATGAAGAAGGATTTACCCCTCTGATGTGGGCTGCAGCTCATGGGCAGATAGCAGTAGTGGAATTTCTCCTCCAGAATGTAAGGAAAAAAACCACACTTCGTTTTAGATTTATTTACTTTTTAGTTCAGTTTGCCTTCCTAAGTTTGTCACTGCTGCTATACACTTAAAACTGTTAAAGTTAAGTTCTGCATAAAACCTCACATTTAAAAAAAGCATGGTTAATTTGTTGGGTTTTTTTTAATTACTATTATTAATTCAGGGTGCAGATCCTCAGATTTTGGGGAAAGGGCGAGAAAGTGCCCTCTCACTGGCTTGCAGTAAAGGATACACAGATATTGTCAAAATGCTGCTCGACTGTGGAGTTGATGTCAACGAGTACGACTGGGTAAGACTCTAGCTTTAATTTATGTCAGAGGGTGCTTTGGTCAGAAATTTGAAACAGGGCACAGCATTGGCTTGGGTTTGAAAATCGTTCTACTGAAATATCTGAGAGTTTCAAAACTTTGACAGGATAAGAAGTTGGCCCTACTCGTTCTGACTTCTTGGTAAAAAGAGAACAAGACTAATGCTGAGTCCTTGTAGAAGAGTGAGCTTACAGTCTAAACAGTAGACAGAAAAAGATGGAAGTTGTGAAGAACCAAAACAGAACCTCATTTTTATAAAACCTGTGAAGTCTCTTACTGATACACAGAAGTATACTGGTGTGTTAAGGAATTATGGTTGCAGACTGCTCAATTATTCAGTGACTATGGCTTTTCCCTGCTTTTGCAGAACGGAGGCACGCCTCTGCTGTATGCAGTACATGGGAACCATGTGAAATGTGTAAAACTTCTCCTCGGTAAGCAGACTGTCCAAACTGAATTATCAGTAAGAAAGTACTATCAGTTCTCATTGTCAGAAGTATGAGTTTCTTTTCCTATTTTACCTAGAAAGTGGTGCTGATCCAACTATTGAAACAGATGCTGGCTATAATTCCATGGATTTGGCTGTAGCCTTGGGCTATCGGAGTGGTGAGTATTGCAGACATAAATTCTTTGATTTGTATTTTTACTGCTCCTTGTTTATGTAGCTGCTGTAATGACCTAGTAGAGGTTTTGCAGCTATAAGATGATCCCTGTCCTCAAAGTCTTAATGTACCTAAGTGTACCAGCCCAAAATGGGTAGGAGCTCCCATCCCTGTCTCAGAAAGCCAGTGCCTAGTAAGAAAATGTCACTGACGTGGACCTGCATCTTTGGGCACAAATAATGGTGTGTAGGGCTGATGCAGCCATGATTCAGACAAGGGGAGCTGAGCTGCTCCCCAGCTTGTACAAAGGCATTTGTGTGGCGCTGGACAATGGTAAGAGGCTTGCAGCCTGCCTGAGCCCCTCACCCTGCCACTCTGTTGATGGGCATGGTATGATGTAGTTTGCAAAACCTTCTGGCCCTGTCAGACTAGTTCTAGTTTACCTTGGAGGCAGACAGTAATGGTGCCACGATCAGTGAATTAGGCTACCATACTTGGTTCTGGAAAATAGAGGCAGAGAATGGGCTCTTCAATGTTTTTTCCCTCATGGTGCCTTCATTTTAAAAGCTGTGAAACATCTGCCGTCACAGAAATTAACTGAACCCAAAAATAAGCCCAGCATTGCACATGTACCTTCTCCAAGCAGAGCTCTGTGCTTATGGGAGGGGAGCAGCAACTTCACAGCTGTTAGATGCAGGACTACTTCCAAGAATTCAATTTCAAAATATTCCACAGTCGTAGTTTCTAATAAATGTTCTTGCCTACTTTGCCTTTATATTTCCTTCCGTATCCTATCTGCCTATTCAAGCCTAAGAACCTCCATCACTTCCAAAACTTATCATCTGCCTTATTGGGTATATTGTTTTTGCATTATACAAGGCTTTCAGTTTCTGAAGGGATGCAAACTCTTACCCAGAGTGAATTTATCCCTGCATTTTATTAAATGATTGTACAGGACAAGCCAGCATCTGCCAGGAAAAAATAGTACAACCATAAAGATGTGGAAAAAAAAACACTGAACACTGATTAACCTGATTTTTTTTTTTTTCTCTGCTTTAGTTCAACAGGTTATTGAGTCTCATTTACTAAGGCTACTTCAAAATATCAAGGAATAATGCTTGGCTCTTCTGCAGGTCACAGTTCTTGGCTTGGAGATCTGAACTGCTTTTTAGCCAGTAATCAGTGACAAGGGTTGGTTGTTTTGTAACTTTACCTCAGTTCGACTATTTGCTGGTTTTAGTTAAGCTTTTTAATATGCTTCCTCTTCTTTCATTGTTGTTCTTAGAAATACGCAATGTCATCCTCTTGTTAAATATATTTTATGTAATTTTAGAAGACAAAAGTCAGTTGTTGTGCATGAAAAACTTTGTAAATAAAACCAGTTTTGACCATCTAAATGTTTACACTGAGTGCAGTGGGTGGCACTGTGCCATGTGTCCTACTTGATCATATCATTGATGCATATTCACAGGAAGAAATTTGTGTAGATACTGAGGTGTTTCACCATGGAAAATAATGGCTTTACTGTTAGTAACACCAAAATGTGTACAATGTGATTGTTTTCAAGATCCCCAGTTTATATTACTGTGTCAGCTTTTGGTTTTGTCCAATTTTTAAGAAGTTGGTAATAAACTGAAGGACTTTGATGGTAGTTTAAATCCTACCTCGTTTCTTTCCACCTGCCTCTGCCTTCCAGTTGTAGACCTGAAACAAATAGGCCAGAGTGTCCTAGACAGAAATTTCTCTGGCATAAAGAAGCCTGATTGCAAGAGCAGAATTCCTAGCTCCTCACTACCCTCCCCGCAGTGGCTGAAAGGAGACATCAGCTGTATGGGAAGATAAGCCAGAGCCCACTGCATTCCAGCCTTCTTCAGCTGGTGTGGTCCTTTGGATCATAGAGTATCTCAAGTTGGAAGGGACCCATATGGATCATCCGAGTCCCAACTCCCTGCCCCTCACAGGACTACCTAAAACTAAACCATATGACTAAGGGCATCATCCAGACGCTCCTTGAATTTTGACAGGCCCGGGACCATGACCTCTCCCCTGGGGAGCCTGTCCCAGTGACTGACCACCCTCTCCATGAAGAACCTTTCCCTAAGGCCCAACCTAAACTTCCCCTGACGCAGCCCCATTCCATCTTCTCATGTCCTGTTGTTGGTCACCAGCACCTCCCCCTCCATTCCCCTCCTTGAGGAAGGTGTAGGCTGTGATGAGGTCACCCCTCAGCCTTCTCTTCTCCAAGCTAAGCAAACCCAGTGACCTCAGCTGTTTCTTACATATCTTCCTCCAGACCTTTCACCACCTTGGTCACCCTCCTCTGGACACGCTCTAATAGTTTGATGTCCTTTTTATGCTGAGGTGTCACAACTGCACACAGCACTGGAGGTGGGAGCTGCACCCGTCCAATGCAGAGTGGGACAGTCACTCCCCCTCAACCAGCTGGCTGGATGCACCCCAGGACACAGTTGGCCCTTTTGGCTGCAAGGGCACGCTGTTGAATCGCATTCAACTTGCCATCAACCTCAGCCCCCAGATCTTTTTCTGTGGGGCTGCTTTCCAGCCTCTTGTCCCCCAGCTTAGAGGGATGCCCCAGTGTAGATCTTTAGTTGGAACAGCAATGGCTATTTTGAAATAGGTTTGAAAAACAGGCAAGGTTATAGCTGATTTTCTGGTGCCTCTGCACTTAAAACTACACTGAGTGATGGGACACATGATACTTTTGCACAAGTAATAGATTAAGCTTTTGAGAGAAACTTTTCAGAAGCTTTTCCCCTGACAATATGTACGCATCCCCCACGGGGTGCAGACGTGTTTCCATAAGCATTTCTCCACTGTGCCTGCTAGAGTCTGCCGTCTGTTCACATACACACACCCTTAATCCCCACCTTCCTTCCCCCAACCCATGGGCAGTGAGCCCAGCCTCCAATTTACTCCTCACCTAGAGTTCACAAGAGATGAGTGGACCCAGATAAGTTACTATATTCCTAATATAGCAATTCTACCATGTTTAATTTTTCTATTTCAAAAATATTTCATACACAAAGGCAATCGATACTACTTAAAGTACACGCACTGTGATCCTGACCAGAGGTACTGGAAGGCTGGGGAATAATCCAGCAGAGTTCTTTAGGTCAGAGCCAGAGAACTTACAAATTCAAAATGCTAAGTTTGTTATTTCAAAGTGACTGAATAGGGGAAAACATAGAAGAAACAAATTAAAATTACAGGGATTAAACCTGAATTTATGTCCAAATTTCTCTCCAACTCCATACTGAAACACGTGTGGTATATAAAAGGTGTAAATCGGGTCAGAATTAACATCTGAAAGGTTGTTTATGTGAGAGCCAGTCCAAAGATCCGTTTCTTTCACAAAGCTGAAATTTGAAATGGAATGAGCTTTAAGGGCAACGAATTAAGAAAATGTAACTCATCTTGCAGGTGCTGGTGAAATCCTTGCTGCATTTAACTGAGCATTATCCATCTCCCAGGCTTTGACACTTGTATTTTTATGCGGGGTTTACACCAGTTTTATGGTATCATGCATGATTAAATCAGGTTAAAGAAACAGTAAATCTGGCATGCCTTGGAAGCGAGGGAAGAAAATTGTTTCATAATCACAATCTAGAAATATATGCCTCATTGTACGTACTTTTAAAATAAAATAACATGAAATGGCAATTACTGTAGTTGCATACTAGACATAATGAGATTTAAAGGCCTTTGTAAAAACAAATGTTGAAGTTCCATGTTGGTTGAAAAACAACATGAATAAAATGCAAACTGTGTTTTCTTGAAATATCATAACCTGATCCATTTCTGATTAATTTTTATGACATCTTATGTGCAGAAGACCGGACTCCTGACACCGACCAATATGATCTCCAGAAGCCGTTTATTATACCTTTGCATACAGCTTTTATATTCTTCCAAGCCCCGTACACACGATCATGTATACTTTTGTAATTCGTACATACCACTGTCTATCTGACAAGCATATAAGCCTCCAGCTCACTCATTGGTTATTTCATTGTCATCATCTTATCCTAGTTGCGGTTACTGCTTCTCTACTCTAGCAACTAAGTTCCGTATACTAGCTAAGCATTTCCCCTTTAATAGCATTCCATCCTTATCAGGACTTGGATGTCCTCGTTCTGCTAGGAATTTATCCACACTTATGTATAGACATGCTATATAAGTACTCATAAGGAACAGAATTTCCTTTTCCTGTATTATTTGTGTTACAGGAAAATACTTCTAAGTTATGAATATTCAGTATCTGCTTTGCATTTTGTCTTGAACTTCAGCCAGCATTGAGTTAATTTATAGAAAATAAACTGACTAATTCTTAACTATTTCTTGGAAATGTATCCTAGAAAATGCATTTTTTTATTATATGGGAAGATAGAGGAATGTAGATTAAGACAGAAAAATGTAAAATTTCTTCCATCTTTTGGCTGCAGAATTTCAAGCAATTGTCAGATAGTCATCACCATGCATCCCATGGAAGTGAGTACAAGGGTGAAGACGATCACCTTCCAGAAGCCGTTTCCTGCATTAAGTCCCCTTTCTATAGCATAACATTATGCTAAGGCAATGAACGTGGAATTGAAGTTTTTCTGTGGCTCTTGTAAGGGCCCTGCCGGGAACATCCAGCAGTATTTCATAAGCTGTGATTCAGACACCCTGAGGAAAGCTTTGTCAGAGTTAGCAACTGGGGGCGGGGGGGGAAGTATGCAAAGAAAAAGCTTTACTCACTGGAAAAAATCACTGTCAAGAAAGCAGACAGTTGTCTGTTGATTATGCAATATTAACAGTACGCTTCACATACTTCGTGTTTCTCTGAGGCACAATGATGAATTTTTGCTTCTCTCTGTGTAAACAATTTCGGAGTTCAGTTTTCTTTGTTTACAGTGGTAAAAATTTTAAAGCCCCTGATTCAGCACTGATAAGCATTTTGAAGCGTCAGCCTGCTGGTTTTGTTTTGGCGAACGATTTCTGTAGCCTCTGATGGCGGGTAGAAGGCACCAGGTGACAGAAACATTAAATCTATGCATTTTCATCCAGACAGGATTCAGTCAAATGAGGCGTTAATCACGTACAATGCTAGCATTGCTATTTGCACATAAATTTGATGAGCACTTTGTAATACTCTTCCCTGTCTGTTCTGGTTTTCCCTGGGGTTGCTGCTACTAGTTTCACACTGTTACCTTCTTTGTTCATCTGCCTTGTACTTTGAACTCCCCACTTGTATTTCTGAGCCAGTTACAGAAAGCATCAGCCTCCTGCCAGACCTTCCCAGGGTAAAGCCTCATCTCCCCTCAGCCTCCTGTGGGTTTTTCCTCGGTATTAAAAAAAAAAACAAAAAACAACAAACATATGCGTCTATATATCTCAGTATCCTACACCTCCTCATGCTACACAGGGAGCCGGCGCCCACAGCAGGGAGCCAAGGGATCAAAGAAAGGCCCTTGACCTCCACCTTTTCCAAGATCCATGCGAGGTGATCACAGCTCCCCACTGCGGCACCAGAGGCAAACTCTGTCCCAGAAACCTGATGCAAGGTTTCCTTCGTGGCACTCTGTTTTCCAGAGGTTTCAGCAGTTGGTATCCCAACAGTATTCCTGCAGAAAGAAATACTATTACTCAATTCCCAAGAGATGGAAATCAGCCACTGAACTTTATTCTTACTTGGCTGAGAAACAACATAGACAAACTTCCACTTATGGCATGCACCACTTTTGGATTTCCAAAGCTGGTTTACTGTGCCTTGGTCCTACATTCTTCCACTAACCCTTAAGCAACCTTAAAGCTCAGCCGTTTAAACCCTGATGCTGCTACTTAACTCACAGCCTGAAGAGACAGCTGTAAACTAAGCCCAGAACTACTACTTACTTTCCACAACTGCTTCGTAACAGTACGTGGAACAAGAAGTGCCAGAAGTAGAGCAACCATGAAAGTTTATCCTAATTCTAGGTAACCTGTTCCGCCTAAGCAGTTCACATCCACAGCTGTAGGTAATCCCTAGCATGAATCAGATGCAACTCCATATTCTCATGAAACTGTAAAGGTTAAGGGATAGAAAAAAGAAAGACTGTATTTACTGGGATGATAGACTAAAATCTGTTCCGCATTTTTCACAAGGAAGCTGATTGTTACGGGCATTCCAGCAGCGCTTTTCCTGAACATTGTGGACCAGGCTTTTTTTCCTTTACAACAACAGTATAAATCACTGGAGTGCAGACACAGCCTGTCACTAGAATGATCATCATTAGTATTGTTATAGCAGTTCCGCTTGCACACACCTCCTGCTGTGCAGCACATAACACTTTCAGGAAGTACACTGCTCTGTCTGGCAATGAATGTGTAAGTGGGTGAATTAGGAAACCAGTCACTTGGAACTTTCAAGATCAAAGATATTGTTAGGGGTTAGTCCTAAGAATGACGTCTGAATAGATCTTTCTGGTGAGGTTGATTTGTCACCAAATTACACTAGTGACTCCAGGCATACAAGACTGTAAAGCACGTCAGTCACTCTTCAGCAGATGAGCAGTGACGAAGCCAGCCATGCACGCAGAAATCAATGGGGAAGGTTGCAGAGCCCAGCTGAAGGGAGATGTAAACTGGGCACAGCGACAGTGGAGTACAGCTGTGGGACTGCGCTATACAGCTCGTCCTTTTCCTGCAAGAGGAAACCTAAGTAATCTCTGAACAATCTTCTGAAAAGAAAATCCTGACCTGCATTGTGGGGAATATTGTTTTGATTCATTGTGTAAACCAACTGCACATGCTCCTTTTCTAGCACCGAAATCAAAACACAGCAAATAACAGCCGCATGACATGCTTTTCACAGACCACAAGTTTTTCTTGCACATCAGCACTTCTATTTCATAAACAGAAAACACAGCTTACAGGACAGTAGCATTTTCACACAAATTCTAGTACATATTGCTTGCAAGTATTTCAGGAGGACCTATCATACCATCCCATGGCTTGACTCAACCTTTCTATATTTTTGTCAGCTAGACCACACTGGATGATGTGCAGTCTGCTGGCAAACTTGATGTGCCAGCACTTAGCCAGGCTTCTAGCACAGTTGCAAAACAGGCAAGCTCTGGCTAGGCCCTATAAAACCCCTGCAACCTACATTAGGCTACACCTAGATTATCTTAAGTGTTATAACCTAAAGGACTCAAAATGCAGTTGCTTCTGAAAATGCATCACAAAAACAGCTTGCCTAGCTATTTTGCATCTGTGGTATAATGTCTGTCATGAGTACAAGGTTAAGTTCACAGGCATAACAACATTGCCATTGTGTCTAAAAAGGCTTTTGTTTAGAAGCGCTAAGCTTTTCTGCTCACATAAAATGTGAAGGTTTCAAGAAGATCCACAGCCTCCCAGAAAATATACTGGTGCAACCTTGAAGGCTCAATTCCCCCCTGGAGTTTAACTTACAGCCTGCCGACACAGTCCGTTTGTCAAATATACTGTATTTCCTGATGAAACCTGAGAGCTACAGAGATGGGACATAATTGAAAAAGCAAAAGTAAAAACAATTCCAGGTTTTGAAACAAATAATAGCGTTTAATTTTCAAGGTACAAACAAAATAGGGCAATGCTAAAATACAAGGAACAAATATAATGGGAGCAGAGGGTCTATTCTAAAAACATGAGAGGGCTGAGAGAGGGCTGACACACTAAAGCAGACTGACAATCTAGTCTACAGTTCCTGACAGAGGTCAGCGTAGACACCAGTGTATACGTGCACGAGGTCACATCTAAGCAAGTCTGAATTTTGTATGCTAGTGAAAGAAGATGACTCAGTGAATCCTGAGACCTGTAGGCTACCCCAGCTTCTACAAACAGTAAAACACACACACAAAAAATCTTAAAGATCCTCAGCCCTGGGTAGAAATTACTGGAGCATGAAATGCTGCAGATGTACATGGGGATTGTTCATCCAAATGCTGCTCCCAACACATGCTAAAGGCAATCCCCAGCTGCATGAGCTGGCTATGCTGGTTTCACATTGTTTAGGAACTTCCTTAAACCTGAAAGGAATGCACCATCTCCTGATGCCCAGCGCTAAGTGGTGCAAAGCAGCCAGAAGGGAAATAAATGAATTTTCACATTAACTCCCCGCTGCTGCTTTGGACACCAACTGTCTCAAGGACAAAAACTTGTAACAGATACATCAAATCAATAATCCATACTGTTACCTCTGCAACTGCCTGATGCAGTTGCTGGAAATAGCAGGAAAGCATAGCAGGACTAGCAACAGTTCCTGGAGCTGTGGCTTAAACCCCAAGTTCCTTCTATTTCAACAGCTACTTCCAACACCTTCAAATCTTATTGCAACATTTTAAACCCAGCGATAATAAGCAGGTGCAAACATTTGCCACAAGTTGTATGTTGGTTGTGAAGCAGGAGACTGCTCAGGCATCCATGGCTGAAATATTTAAGATTCCAGCCCTAGCCCACTAGACATTATTAACTCAGCTGCAGCTCCATTAACAACTGTAGAAGTCTCCAACCAAAGAAAGTAAGACTTGTTCAACTCAACTTCAGGTGTCTTCTAAAAACTGGGAGAGTAGGGCACAACCCACATCTACATTTTGCAGTACCAAGAAAAAAAAATGACCCAAAACCCACTACTCAACAGAAATGTAGAACAGTCCGTCAAGTGCAGCAGATACTTCCACCGTTATCTGCCAATATCCTGCACAGCACATCAAATCCCTGACTGCGTGAGAAAAGTGTTACCAATGTTGGTTATTGGAATCAAAAGCAAAAGCACTGTGTCACATGATCAAACTGACCTTTAACAAGCCCAGGATCCAAGTAGCAGTGAAATACCCTACAATTCTGCTTTCTGCCTACATAAGAAATAACAGACACATGCTATAAAAATAACAATTAGTGCTTATACCATTACAACACTGATTAACCTATGATTTGTTCAGATTCACTAGTAATGTAAAACGTTGGGCTGTAACTCACCTGTAAAGGTATTACTAATTCCTGCACGATACAAACGTTGTTAGAAGGGCTTTTTAATTTCCAGGATACCTTCACTGCAATATAAAGGCAACACACGTTGCATCTGTTAAATCTATTTCTCACCAAAAACCAGATTACAGCAAGACAATACACTGACCGTATTACATAAGCGGTCTTCCTTCTGTTCAGTAACATCATTCTCTAACAGTAACCCATGCATGAAGGCAGAATATTAACAGAGCAATGAAAGACTTTCATGAGGAAACTGCAAGTAGCTTACACTACCAAGAAACCCCAGCTTGAAGTTGATTAGAATACACAGAAATAGTTATACTCCTGGTTCACAGAGCTTCTAGATACATCCACTTTTCATCCGTCTGTGAAGTTACTGAGTTTGACTCACAGTCAAACTAATCATGATACTTGTTTGTGCTACAGACTGTTCACCTTAGCCAAGTAAGCTTGGCTCAGCTGCGCTGTCAGCTCCTTTTCTGTAAAAAAGGCTTCCTCCCAGAGTCCAATCTCTGTTACAGGTCAGGATCTTTCAACTACCACATCCAATGGAAAACATTCTCAGCAACTCACAAATTGCTGGATGTGGCCGAAACTACAGATCTGAAAAGGAACAAAGAACAGCTTAGAAAAATCAGGAGCCACATTCCATGTATTTATATAAGCTGCAGACATGCTGAGTACTTGTTAATACTTCAGAATACCTAGTTTTAAAACCTCTCTTCTTTACCTATACCACCATCTTGCCAGTCGCTTAAGGCTGCACTCTAATCATCAAGATGACTTCCCTGTAGGATTTCCTACCTGTGCAGAGTAGTAGCTCTCTGGTTTCCTAACTTGTCAAATCCATTCTCACCAAGAGGGTGATCAACCAGCTTCCCCGTTCTGGCTTCTCAATCACTCCCCCCCGCCTCCCCTGAAAAATACGACCTTCCCCCACCACCTGCAACATTCACACACACAAACTTTTTTCCTAGCCACTGTTCTGATCACATCCTGGTTTTCTTTTAATGCCTCCACTGCTTCTGGCAACAAAGACAAGCTATTTTCTGCCTTTCAAATGCCCTTTGTTACTCTGTCTGTACCATAAAGGGACATTTAAATTTTCAGCAGAGATACAGGAAGCCACTTCAGGGAAGGCAAAACATCTATATGATTTCCCACACAGAAAACACATTATTAGCGCAAAGTTTCATAGAAGTGAGAGCTACATGAACGTCCCACACACACAGTGCAAAGCAACATAGTAAGATAGAGAGGTATTGACTTGATACGTGAGGGTCTGAGCTGTGAACATTTTAAACCAACTCAAAAGATTTTACTTGCACTACTTGCACTATGCACTAATAACTATGAGAAATTCTCACTGGGAACGTTTCCTAAGAGACACAGCCTCAAACTCACAACTCTTCAAAAAAAAAAAAATCCAATCTATAATAATGCAAGATGCATTCTAGAGCTTTAAAAACAATGTTATTTTAAAACCATAGTAGGGAGCTTTTTATTTTTATATACATGCACACACAGCAGCTTAATAAAATACAGAGTTTCATCATCTTCCAAAAGGATTTGTTTTTTTTTTTAATTAGAATATACTAATCTTAAACCAGAGCAAAGCCCTTAAAGCATGACATTAAGTTATGAAGATATTTCTAAAAATCCGTTGCAAAAATTATGAAAAAGTCCTCGCTAGTACCCACAACTGCATTGGAGTCAAGCTGTTAAAGCCTGATGTGATAGAACCAGAACATTGCCTTAGCTTTCTAAAAATAAAAAGCCCAAACCAACCTCTGCTTCCGTATAAATGCAGGCATCTGTTTTTGTTTCTCCATTGCCGAAGATATTTAGAATGGAGATACGAAGGCCATTTTCCCTGAGCAAGACTACAGATATGAATCTGTAATGGCATAATTACAGTATGGGTACACAGAAGTTCAAGCTAACGAGAAACATCAACACAACGATTTTCAGTTTCTAGCAGTTAATGACAGACTAGGGAGACCATAACCAAACTTATTAAAAGAAAATAATCAGTGTTGAGTCCAGGACAGAGCATTGAAGTGTTAGACATGAAGACTAAACTTTCCAACAAGAGAACTACTTCCATTTAGAATCCATTATAACCCAGAACACACTTTGATCGTATCTTGATCCTCAGTCAGAGTCTGGGAATGCAGCGATACACCGGTACTTCCCGACTGGGAACATACCTAGCAGGCAGACTTCCACACATGCGCGTCACATGGCTGCTTATTGACAGATTAGCATTATTTTGCATTTCAAAGACACTGTTTTAGCAAGGTTCTTATTTTTTCAGCACCAGGTTAAGTCTCTTAATGGGGAAAAGGCAAACACTGCCTAGATCATCTAACCAAGATACCAAGTCATTTCATGAGGCAGAAACCAATAGGAAACATTTCGTAAGAGAGGGCTACAGTGGCCTAAATGAAGTATTTCTGAGGACTTACATATTCAAATCTCAGAAGGGAGAACACTTTGATTTCTCAAAAAAATCAGCACGCGTTTATTGACTTGACAGGTCACAGGAAACTGGTAAACAACTCCGTAGAATTCGGTTTTCACCTTTTACAGGGCAATTAGCTTAAAGTCACCACCCTCATTTCAAAACTCAAATTGCTTCAAATTGCAAAACTCAAATAGTTCAGTTTTTCTACTTTAATGCCACAATTCAGTGAAAGCAATTTTAATTTGAATTAATTCAGTGCTAAAAGTGTCATTTACTGGTAAAGTACTCGCAAACAGAGACAAGTGAACTGAAGTTGTTACTGTACATTCTTGCACCTGACTTCAGCCATGTCATGCTCACATCAGAGTGCTGTCTTACCTCAAACCACAAGAGTTGCACAGCTCAAACGAGTTCCTCCACTGTTTCCCAACAGCAACGACTTAACACCATGACAAACATGCCTGGCAAGTCAGACACAGCCCCACCTTTTCCCAGGCACAAGGAGAACTTTATGTTATGGCTCTAGCAAAATTTTACCCTGAATTTTATCCTGCACAAGTAAGGATGAATTTCCACTTCCAGCAGTATTTGCTCTGGAGAGAACCTTAGAAGGCTGGTAATTGAGTGCTCTTCCATCCTAGCTTAGCATGAAAGACAAAAGATTCCCAAACATGATGTTTAGCCCCCACCCCTGGAAGCTCCAGCTATGCAAAGGTCAGACCGAAATTTAAGAAGTCTTCCTTGTGCCCAAAAAACAAGTTCTCTTTTTCTCTGGAACGCACAAAAGCAATAGAAAGGACATATTCCTGAAACATCCAAGTAGTTAATAGATCTGAAGACACGAAATACAGACTTAATTAAAAGCCATTATCAATTCTATTAAGGATTTTTTCCCTTCCTATACTTCATTCCCCCCATGATCGATATTTTCAGGTAAGTAAAATTAGAATACTGGGAAGTATTATTTGACTCATCAGTTACGCCCTGGAAATATCTATTAAAAACTCCCTGAAGATAAAAATTTCCCATTAGTATCTAGTTCCCCCGAGATGCCAATAGCTTGCCACTGTTCTCAAGGCCAAGCAAAGTTCTCTCTCAATCTGCCCGTTTTATGTTATATTAAATCACCAATAATTACCTCTAGAATACAGATCTGTTCCTTAAATTCAGACTACAAAGTGACTTAGAGCATACATAGCTCTGACCCGCAAACACTCAGAACCCACCGATTAAGTCTAAAATGCTCCATTACACACAGAAAAAATTTTTTAGAAGCCAGTCTTCTAACACAGCAAAAGGAAGAAGCTCTGCAGAAAAGCAAGACATTTCATGATCTGTCATTATGGCAAATCTTTCCCCTGCTTTTCTGACAAGAATCCACACCAGAAAGTTTCTTTTTTATTTTTATTGTATGCCAAAGTTCATTAAAGACGGGGTTTTGCTTGTATACAAGTTACTCAAAAATTGTGTCTAGGCAGAGATTTGTTAGCAATCTGACTTATTTCAAAGCATAGGTTTGTTCAACCAGGCCACAAAAATAATATTGTGTACAAGCAGTAACTAAAAAGCTGCAGGTTCAAGGAGTTTCCAAATATCACAGATCTTGAGATCTCATCAGGAAATAAAAATAAAATCAAAGCAGTCACAATATAAAATAGCAGCTCCATGTAGCTTTTTCAAGTTTTAACTTTATTCAGAACGTGACACTTAGTTCAGTTTGCCTCATTCTTTGAAGCTTCATCGAAGTTTTCAACAAGATCTAGAAAAAGAAGAATGTTGAAATTAAAGTCTGACCCACTTACGCTTTGCTAAATGTTTTGGTTTTGTGAGGTTTTTCTTCCTCAAAGTTCTACTTCATATCAAGTCCTTGCAATATAAAAAACTTTCAGCTTATAAAATACAGACCAAATAACTTAAGAGCTTTATGGTTCACTCTTCTTGCTCAACCAAGTAAGTTTTTAGATGGTTCATTACAAAGCACAATTCTACAAGCATTTACCTTCACTGTACCCACATGGGCAAAGTAATATTGAGAAGGCAGTTTCTTCTCACCCTTCTTATTGAATATTAAATAATTACCCTAGCCACAGCTACTACTTTTACACAGGACAAAAATGCTAGCTCAAACCAATAGTGTCTCATGGTGTCTGAAAACAATGAAATAACCTGCTCACAGAAATTCTGTGACAGCGAGTGACTAGTCAATACATCCCTGCCCCAAACTTATGCTACACGTTATTGCTCAGCAAAATTCACTTCCTTTTCCTCCACTGCATGCTTGTTCTTACCTGGAACTTCATCATCATCATCCTCACCAGTAGCAAGTGGTGCTTTTCCATCCACAGCTGAAAGAGCAAATAGTTCAAAAGCATCAGTCAAGCTCACCACAGGCATTGACTACTATATTGACTATATTGACTACTCAGTGTTTTTCAAGGTTTATGTATTTTATATCAGCAAGTTTTAAGGACAATAAAGGATCTTATGATCCTAGGCCTTCAGCAAAAACTAAGGTGTAATTGTGAGGCTGCAGGCAGACACATGTGACTAGACATGCATATTATTGTTCCCTGGCAAAGTCAAGAGGAATATGGAACTGGATGCACAATTTTACACTTAGGTAGCTGAGGTAACCATGTGTTCTGGTCCACATGTCCGCTGACTCAGTAATTTCTTAATCATTCCCATTGTATTTGCCAGAGCTAGCGTGACTTAACCACGTCCACTGTAGCAGACCAATGAGCATCTGTGAAACTGCAGCAGTATCACGCTAAGAATGGTCCCTGGGTGCCTGTGCCACTACTTTTACTGCTATTCTTAGCGGTACTACCAAGGGTAAGCTGTCTCATGCTCTACCAGTTTTATCCTCATTAATCCTTCTTGGTTTTCAAGAAAAGCATAAGGAAAGAGACAGATTCATACTAGACCTGTATCCTGATTTAGAGAGAACCAAAACAGACGAATGCATAAACTTTGGTCTGAAAGGCCTTGGGACAAGTCACCACTAACCCTCCTTTTGTTTTTTAACAGCAGAAAGCTGTTACAGCTTAAGTGCATCTTAGTGTCAAATACAACATTTTAAAAGCAAACCATGTTATTTCCTCCTAAATTGTCTGCATTTTCTCTCATCCCCAAGACCAGACTCAGTTTACTTTAGCACCTGCAAATGCAATCATCACAGGCACTTCACTCTTCAATGTCAGGCTTCCAAATCTAGCAGACAATGCTGAATGGAAAGTTTTGTGCAACTATTCTGGCATCCACCCAAACTGGAAAGGAATAGCCATTTACTATGTCATACAAAGCAAGCACTTTAAACAAGCTTCCCTAATACTAAAACTGCATGATTTAGATTATCCAGAATATATCCTCCTTGTTAGGAGAAGAGAGATCTTAGGGGACTATTTTAAATCCTTCAAGTTTTTTTTTTCTTTCCAGCCCTGCTAACCACCACAAGGAAGCCACACAGGTGATGTTAGGAAGGAAGGACCTGAGCTCCATGGGGAAAGAAGCAGTTTAGCCTACTTCCTGAAGATAACTTCCAGCAGGATTTTTTCAGTGGAAAGTTGACAGGAGGGGAAGTATATAGAGGCTGTCTCATGGGCAACAAAGCATGAACAAAACCAATATCACAATCAAGTTCAGAACTACCAGAAACAGGACACAAGGATACACTTCTTCCATTTTCTCTGTACTTAGGATGTTCCATACCTTGGAAGGAATGGGCTTAAGATATTTCAGGAAAGTAGGAAGACCATACATGCAAGACACGAGGAATATTCCTAGTATCAACAAGCCTGTCTTTCACTCCCAATTTTCACTCTCCAGCAGCAGCACCTTTTCCAAACACCACATACTTAAGTTCCTCCTCTATTTTTCCCACACAGTTTTAGGAAGAACAAGCGTTCGTGTTCTTTTACTAATTTAAGGATGAAATAGCAAGTTGGTGTATCTAGCTAAATGCTCATGTCAGTCCTGTTTTCTACACTGTTCTACACACAGAGAAATTATAACATACTTCCTTACAAATACTGTGTAATTGCCTCCACAGCTATCAAAAAGCCGATGCAAGAAACCTTCACCATGCCTGTGAGGCAGCAAAGCAGTTACTAGATGTCTGTCCTCAAGTCCCTTTCCCCATTACTTATGTTTCCATTCAAAGTGTCAAAACAGGCACACTCAGCATTAATCTTTTTTTGAAACCTAGCTCTTCCAGAGTAACTCATCTACCTAGCTTTAATGAATGAGGTATGTAAAAATATGGTAGCCACATCAAGAAGTAAAACTACCATGACATCAAGTTCAGCTACAGCTTTCCAGTCCTAGACCAGCTGCAGGATATGCTGACAGGTGCCGCTGCTTTATTTGGTTATACTCGCCGTTGGATTCGAGCTATAAATAAGATCTAAGAGTTCCATTTCTTTATAAGCATTTTATAATATGCTTGCAGACAGCAAGAGTGCACTGAATTTCACTGCTGCTATACAAATAAGCCTCACGTCAGCTGCCAGCATGAAATGCATTCAAGTTTCCACTTACATTGCTTGGGTAGGGCTTCTGCCAATCTCCTCAGGCTGGTTAGACTGTCAGCTCCAAGCTGATTTAAGATGCTAGGAAGCATTTCTGTCAGCTGCTTTGTCTCAGCATGGCCGGTGATAGTGAAAGTGTTAGCAGCCAGAGATGCCTGAACTTTAGGGTTATTGAAGTGAATGACTGTTCCTTGGTTGGTAAACATGTTTACCTGCAAGAAAGAAAAAAAAATCAGTATTTGAGGCGGTTTAGCAAGACTTTTCTATCTAACAGAAAGTTGAAGTTCTTAAAGCCCATAAAGACCTACTGATAATTTACAGATGAGTTTAGGATGTTACTTACCAGGATTTTTATTTTGGTACATTTTATATTTTTATACAGAAAAGTATTTTTTCCTTTGAAGCAATTACCTCTTCAATTCCAGAAATATTGTTGACTCCTAGTTTCTTCAAAGAAAACTGAAGTTTCTTGTCATCTGCTGTAGCTGTTCTGTGGACAACCTTCTTCTTTCTGCGGGCAGTACCCTTTGCAAAAAAAAAAAAAAAGTTACAAAGAAATACTCCAGTAGTTCTTCACAAACTCTACTCAGAGGCGTATAACAACTCTGCAGCCATCTACAAATCAACTTGGCATGCAAAGTTCCACTCTGTGTCACACAGCACACAACCCCACCCCTCCGACTGCATTGCAGCAGTCTTTCCCTTGCTCTAAGGCAAGCTTTGCATGTCCTGTGAGAAGTGTGAGGTTTTAGGAAGCAATGCACCAGAGAATGTTTATTGTACAATTCTTACAGGGATTCTGCAGCACCTTAGAAAAGAAAATTTGTAAGTTTACCCTCACCTGTTATCACAGGCATAAAACCGAAGAATGAGCACAGTTTTAGGTAATTTATGATGCTTATGAATTTTTCCTTAATTACCTTTCTTAAATTGTAGCCAAATTTTTATCTGTCAGTCAAAGGCTATAAGTTACCAGCACATCATTAACAAATCAATATGAGAAAACTTAAAATACTCAAATTTTAGTCCCAACAGACATCTCCCATCTGATGGACTTACACATACATACTTAAAGAACACTTATTTTCCAGAAATATTTTATAAACATGTTTTTAAAAAAACTTCTACGTATTATTCCAGACCACCCCTGTTTAGAAAGCAAAACAAGCAAAGGTTAAGCTCCCCTACAGACATGAAGCTCTAGATTACTTCAGGGAAATAACTGTCCCATATTAGGAAGATACCTATACCTACGAAAAAGCAGAAAGTGTCCTTCTAGAATTCCTTGCATAATCATAACGCTTCAGTAAAATATGACATAAAATGTCCAGGAACAGGTGAAACTAAGCTCCTTTTTGACACACTGTAGCTACTAATCTAAGTCCTCCTACTCTGGTTGCCCATCTGCCACATGCTAGCATAAAAGAATGTGCTGCTGCCCAGCTGTATAAATGGCTGCAATACCTTTTGAGTTAACTGGTGGAAGACAGAAAACTGTCTGGACACTAACACATAACCATATCTAACATAATCATTACAAATAAGGAACGTTAATGACAAATTCACATGAAAACTAACACTTGGAAGGCTACAGCTCAAAAGTTTAGTCATTTGTCTAGAAAGCTTGACATTCATTCCCTGCTACTGTCAGGTTAGTGCACACTGCAATTTGAAAACTACTAATATAATAGAACTGACTTTATTTTGTAGTACCTTGACTACCCAGGAACTGAGCTACATTAGGTATACATTAAGTCTCTCCAGCCAAAAGACCTCTCAATTAATTTCAAAAAATGTCGTCTTGAATCAAAAGCTATGTAGGAACATGCACCTCCTTTTTACCCTTATTAAACACAGACATCAAACTTGAGACAATTTGAGTTTCATTTAAATAAGCAGCTGCTGCTTTCATCTCCGCATGCTGAGACATACTGTTTGCACCCCTCTACTTCTATATTCAAGAGGAGTGGCTACAGCAGGCCACTAATGGAACAGTACAGACTCATCTGCCACTCCTCTAAAAAGGTTTGGAAGAAGAGCCATGACATTTACCTGTAGCAATATTCTACACAAAACTCTCAAATTGCACGTAACAAAGTATTACCATAGCCCTCGACCTAAATATAATATTTAGCTTATTTGTAAGATCTACAGCCTTGCATCATGAAAAATCTTCCAGCAGAGGCAATGTGCCACCTTTTCTCAGAAGGAGAAGTGACTCTTCCCCCTTTGCCTCTACCACACCCATCTCAACTTATATGGTGACAATGCCATGAAGAATCCCAGTAATAATTTCCAGTTATAAAACAAATTAAAAAAGAGTCAAGTTCAGGCATTCAAAGTATTTCACAAGCCAATTTTAAAACTGAATGACAGCATCACCAGCATACCCTAAGCTTTGCTTAATGTCTCCAAAAGACCTATATTGACCAGAGCTGCACGAGCTGTCACCTGAGTGCATGTTCTTATGTAACAAACATTAAAAGCCTCTACAGTCAATACACACAGTCATCAATATAATGCAGCAGTTCTCTGCTTAACTAGTAACCCATACAAAGAATACACAAAATCACTAAGCCAGCTAATTACTACATTAACCCTGATTTAACGTTGCCTAGATCTCCAGCTAAAGGCAAAAAAAATTCAACACAGGAATGAAAACTCCTGGGAACACTGTCAGCAAGAGTTCTGTTGAGTAGTTTGTATTCTAAAATATTGTGTGCACACTTCCTCAGGTATAAAAAAAAAAAAATCACTAACAGAATCTTGCCTTAAAACTGACACTGCAATCAAAATGTTTACTAGCATATGACTCTTTGCTGGATAAAAAAGTGGCTGGATGGTCAGGCCCCTAGGGTGGTGGTGAATGGAGTTAAATCCAGTTGGCAGTCGGTCACAGGTGGTGATCCCCAGGGCTCAGTGTTGGGGCCAATTCTGTTTAATATCTTTATCAATAACCTGGATGAGGGGACTGAGTGCACCCTCAGCACATCTGCAGATGACACTAAGATGGGTGGAAGTGTTGATCTGTTGGAGGGCAGGAAGGCTCTGCAGAGGGATCTGGACAGGCTGGATCAATGAGCCGAGGCCAACTGTGTGAGGTTTAACAAGGCCAAGTGCCGGGTCCTGCACTTGGGTCACAACAACCCCATGCAACTCCTGAGCAGCTGGAAAGCTGCCTGGCAGAGAGGGATTTGAGAGTATCAGTCAACAGCCAAACGAGTATAAGCCAGCAGTGTGCTCAGGTAGCCAAGAAGGCCAACAGCATCCTGGCTTCTATCAGGCATAGCATGACCAGCAGGAGTAGGGAAGTGACTGTGCCCCTGTACTCGGCACTGCTGAGGCTGCACCTTGAATACTGTGTTCAGTTTTGGGCCTCTCACTACACGAAAGAAGTTGCATTGCTGGAGTGTGTCCAGAGAAGGGCAAGGAAGCTGGTGAGGGGTCTGGAGCACAAGTCTGATGAGGAGAGGCTGAAGGAACGGGGCTTGTTTAGCCTGGAGGAGTCTGAGGGGAGACCTTATCGCCCTCTACAACTGCCTGCCAGGAGGCTGTAGCGAGGTGGGTGTTGGTCTCTTCTCCCAAGTAACAAGCGATAAGAGGAGAGGAAATGGCCTCAAGTTGCACCAGGGGAGGTTTAGATTAGATATTAGAAAAAATTTCTTTCCTGAAAGGGTTATCAGGCTCTGGAACGGGCTGCCGAGGGAAGTGGTTCAGTCCCCATCCCTGGAGGTATTTAAAAGACAGGGAGATGAGGTGCTTCGGAACTTGGTTTAGTGGTAGAGAGGTATGGTTGGATTCAATGATCTTAAAGGTCTTTTCCAACCAAATGATTCTATGGTATGCCTATATTCAACAAACTTTTTTATTTTCAGATTGTAAGTAATCACACAGCTACATAAGTTCAGCTGTTGAAATAAAATGAAAAGGTCTCCTGAGCATGTTATTCTACAATTACAAGAGTAAGACAAGTACAGAATTTCCAACGTTGTCCTAAAAAGCAAAAAACCAGCCAGGCAAGTCTTAAAGATTTGTGATGAGAGTTTGGAAGGTAACCCTCTATAATCTGTTAGGAAAACTATACCCGAGCTAGCTTGCTGTAAGGTCTGCTCAGTTCAACTCCTACATGCCTTCTGAAATAGCCCATACAAAAACACAGGCTGCAAGCCTGCTGTAGCATACTGTAACAAACCCAAACAGAAAACGCTGGAGGTTCAGCTACCACATACGGCTTCTCCTGAACTGATTCTAGAGATCCCTGCCCACAGCACAGCTTCCCCCGAGGGCAGTCAAGCCAACCTGAGAGTACCGAGGGCTGCTCCCGCCCCAGTTTTCAGGACCCCCTGTGCCAGGTTTGGTGTGCGCACAGGGACGCGTGGTCCCGAGGGCAGGGTGGGGAGGCGGCTCCTACCTTGCCGCCGATGCGCACTTGGGCCTGCAGCTTGGCGAGCTTCTCTTGGTTCATGATTGTT